AGAGTTTTGTGTCTTGTGTTGTGCCTGTGTGTTCTGTTGCAGCTATCAAGAAAGAGTTTCAGAGGAGGGTTGGAGTAAAATAAAGGTTGGATGTGAAAAGTGGGTTATAGTAAGCATATATGCACCTGGAAAAGAGAGAAGTGTAGAGGAGAGAGAGAGATTTTGGGAAATGCTGAGTGAATGCGTGGGGAGTTTTGAACCAAATGTGAGGGTACTTGTGGTTGGGGATTTCAATGCTAAAGTGGGCAAAAATGTTGTGGAGGGAATAGTAGGTAAATTTAGGGTGCCAGGGGTAGATGAAAATGGGGAGCCTTTAATTGAACTATGTATAGAAAGAGGTTTGGTAATAAGTAATACATATTTTATGAAAAAAGAGGATAAATAAATATACAAGGTATGATATAGCACGTAATGAAAGTAGTTTGTTAGATTATATATTGGTGGATAAAAGGTTGATGGGTAGGCTCTAGGATGTACATGTTTACAGAAGGGCAGCTGATGTATCGGATCATTATTTAGTTGTAGCTACAGTTAGATTAAGAGGTAGATGGGACAAGAGGAAAATGGCAACAAGTGAAAGGTGAAAGTGCATAAACTAAGGAAAGAGGAAGTTTGGGTGAGATATAAACTATTGGCAGAAAGGTGGGCTAGTGCAAGTATGAGTAGTAGGGGAGTTGGAGAGGGTTGGAATAGTTTTAAAAATGCAGTTTTAGAATGTGGGGCAGAAGTTTGTGGTGATAGGAGGGTAGGTGCAGGAGGAAAGAAGAGTGATTGGTGGAATGATGAAGTAAAGGGTGTGATAAAAGAGAAAAAGGTAGCTTATGAGAGGTTTTTACAAAGCAGAAGTGTTATAAGAAGAGCAGAGTATGTGGAGAGTAAAAGAAGGGTGAAGAGAGTGCAAAAGGAGAGCAGATAGAGTGGGAGAGGCACTGTCAAGAAATTTCAGTGAAAATAAGAAAAAATTTTGGAGTGAGTTAAACAAGTTAAGAAAGCCTAGGGAAAGAATGGATTTGTCAGTTAAAAACAGAGTAGGAGAGTTAGTAGATGGGGAGATGGACGTGTTGGGTAGATGGCGGGAATATTTTGAGGAGCTTTTAGATGTCGACGAAGAAAGGGAAGCGGTAATTTCATGCACTGGCCAGGGAGGTATACCATCTTTTAGGAGTGAAGACGAACAGGATGTGAGTGTGGGGGAGGTGCGTGAGGCATTACGTAGAATGAAAGGAGGTAAAGCAGCTGGAACTGACGGGATCATGACAGAAATGTTAAAAGCAGTGGAGGATATAGTGTTGGAGTGGTTGGTATTATTGCTTAATAAATGTACGAAAGACGGGAAGGTACCTAGGGATTGGCAGAGAGCATGTATAGTTCCTCTATATAAAGGGAAGGGGGACAAAAGAGATTGTAAAAATTATAGAGGAATTAGTTTACTGAGTACACCAGGAAAAGTGTATGGTAGGGTTATTATTGAAAGAATTAGAGATAAGACAAATTGCAGATGAGCAAAGAGGTTTTAGAGTGGGTAGGGGATGTGTAGATCAAGTGTTTACATTGAAGCATATATGTGAACAGTATTTAGATAAAGGTAGGGAAGTTTTTATTGCATTTGTGGATTTAGAAAAGGCATATGATAGAGTGGAAAGGGAAGCAATGTGGCAGATGTTACAAGTACATATATGGAATAGGTGGTAAGTTACTAAATGCTGTAAAGAGTTCTTATGAGGATAGTGAGGCTCAGGTTAGGGTGTGTAGAAGAGAGGGAGACTACTTCCCAGTAAAAGTAGGTCTTAGACAGGGATGTGTAATGTCACCGTGGTTGTTTAATATATTTATAGATGGGGTTGTAAAAGAAGTAAATGCTAGGGTGTTCGGGAGAGGGGTGGGATTAAATTATGGGGAATCAAATACAAAATGGGAATTGACACAGTTACTTTTTGCTGATGATACTGCACTTATCGAAGATTCTAAAGAAAAACTGCGAACTTTAGTGGACGAATTTGGGTGTGTGTGTAAAGGTAGAAAGTTGAAAGTGAACATAGAAAAGAGTAAGGTGATGAGGTTATCAAATGATTTAGATAAAGAAAAATTGGATATCAAATTGGGGAGGAGGAGTATGGAAGGAGTGAATGTTTTCAGATACTTGGGAGTTGACGTGTCAGCGGATGGACTTATGAAGAATAAGCTTAATCACAGAATTGATGAAGGAAATAAGGTGAGTGGTGCATTGAGGTATATGTGGAGACAAAAACCATTATCTATGGGGACAAAGCAGGGCAAAGAAAATTAGACAGTTTAATTGAAAATAGTGATTGGACAAAGCATGCTAATGACAATTTTGTAATTAATTTATCAGATGCAGCGTTAGATAAAAATACAACGGCTGCTCTAGGTTTTGGTCTAAGTTTTGCAACTTCAAAAAAAACTTAATAATGTTGAAATTGCAAAAGCCTTTTGTAACTTTGAAAAATCTTCTGAGTTATCCACTGATGAAATTAATATTAGTAAAGGAATGGTATATAGCTCTATGTTAAAACCAAACATTCCCAACTGCCCTCAAAGATTCTTTAAGTCTTATGATACACTTAATAATAAAAAAAATTTGTGCCTTACCAAAGCAGATAAAATAAATGCAATTGTAATTATGAAAGAAAATGATTACCAAGAAAAAATGAATAATCTCTTAGATGATACTGAAACCTATTCTAAACTTAGAAAGAATCCCTTAGAAACCGTTAAGAGCAATTTCAATAAAACAATTATTATTATTATAATAATCAAGAGGGAAGCGCTAAACCCGGAGGATTATGCAGCGCCTGGGGGGGGGGATGTGGAAGGCATTCAGGCTTAATTCGGGGAACTGGAGCACAGATCCAATTCCCTAAATCAAGAGCCCCTCACCAACATCAAGGAACCTTCCTTGAGGGGCAATAAAACAATAAAACTTCTACTGATTTTTCGTAATCACAGTTGCACCTTTTGCAACAACAGCCTCCTTGATTGCCATTTTCCTGGTCACTATAGTAGAGATTATTGATTGGGGTTTTGTATACAACCTGGTCAGCTCTGACACACGCACTCCACTTTCGTACTTTGTAATTATCTCTTTCTTCATTTCAATAGTCATTAGCACCCTTTTTCTCGAAGGGTTGGCACTAGAAGCTTTCTTGGGGCCCATGGTGACTTATTTTGCAGAAAAAAGCACCAAAAACACTGTGATAATATGGAATGTACCGAATGTATCCTTAGATGCGAGCACACTGGCTGGCTTGTAAACACTGGCACACACGGGGCAGTTCAGGCCACACATGGACACGTCTCAGACGAATCGTGTATACCGGGTTTTTTAACGGGAACCGAGGCAAAATTTTTGCATTGAAATGTATCGAATACCGGATTTATCGGATACCGATGGCATCGCGAACCAGGGGTCCACTGTATCAGAACACAATTCACAAACACAGCTAGCTTGTAGCAGAGATGGACTGAACATGTATGAAATATGAATGCTGGGAGGGTGGGGTGGTGTTGGGAAATGGTAGGGATTGGCAGGAGGGCTCCCTTGCTTCTCCACAACAAGGCAGCCACTTCAGTAAAAGAGAACTTTTTTTTCCTTCCCACAAACTGAACCGTGTTAAATTAATTTTACGTGTTATATAAATTGTTCCGCAATTCTTCAATCGTGCAATACCCGAATTGTGCCAAATAAAATCTTGCTAAATGACAGTCTACTGTACTATTTTGTCATGCCTCCTGACAGCAGGAACAGATTAATTGGATTTACATTATTTCTTATGGGAAACATTACTTCGACTTTAGGACGTTTCAACTTCAGTTTAGCCTCTGGAACGGATTAAAGATGAAACTTGAGGTTCCACTGCAGTGTCATTTGGGGTACATAGTGTCGTATCTTGGAAAGGATGTAATGTTTTGGAGACATTCTTGGCTATGTGTTTTATGTGAGTATTAAATTTCAAGTTGTAGTCAAAGTATAAACCTTAAAATTTGCCCTCAGTATGTCTTGCTGTGGGAGAACCATTGATCAATATGTTAAGTTGAATATTTGGGCTTTGCTTAAACATTCCTTTAAAGTGTAGGTACTGAAGGGGCAGGATGTTGCAGTCTGGAGAGTTACTTGTGATGTCTGCACACCTATGGTACCATTACTACTAAATACAGGAGGGCCCTGCTTATACAGCAGGTTAGGTTCTGGGCTACTGCTATAAAGTGAAACATAGCCTTTTCTCACTTTCAAATGCATATAAAAGCCTGATAATATATTTACACTAACATATTAAGTAAGTAATAGAGCTAGGCCTAAAAAATGCATATACAGTGCACACATTATTTACCTTAAAATATTTTTGTCCTTTGCTCATAGTGAATGGTAAATATATTTACTGTAGGAAGTCTGAATAAAAGAAGAATGGATATAACTGAAAACTGCTTGACTTGTTTAACACTGTAAAGTGGGGTCCACCTGTAAACGATAATGAATGTGATCCCTTTTATGAGGTAACCTTAATGCGAGACACCCAGTAAATAAAAAGAGCACAACCAGAGAGGCCCCATTTTTTTTTTTTCAGTGTGAAGTTATTAACACTTGCTGATAAGTGAAAATCACCAGTAAGTGAAACAGTGGTTTTTCACCATCGAATACATATAAACTGGCTGATACCATGTTCACACTATCATATATTAAGTGTTCGATACAGCTAAGCATAAAAAAAAGATGCGAAAGTAAAACAAACATACGGTACATAAAATACTTACCTTATAAATATGGCCCCAGACAGCCTTCCCTGAAGCAACTGTTGTGCAAAAATGGCAGAATTGGAAAAAGAACTGAACATAATGAACAATGGCTCAATTGAAAACCACTGAAACAGCAGCACACCATATAGAGGAGCACTGCAATGCGGGGGCCCTCCTGAACTGTGCAGAATACAAGATGGTAATGTAAACAAAAGAATTACATCAGGCAAGACATTCAAGTTATTTACCTGATAATAAACGGTCCTCGGTCCTCTAAAAGGTTCCTCTCCGTAGCAAACAGGTGGAGAAGGTTTTGTAGAAACCTCGTGAAGTACTCATCAGCATGGATTTTCTCATCACCCTCTAACACTAGGAAAAAAATACTTTTATATAATCAGTTTAAACATAATAATATAAAACATTAACCTACCTTACAATCTTAAATATTACACAAACAAATTTTGCATTATTATTATTATTATTATTATAATGGGGAGAACTACTAAACCCATGGGGATTATATTGTGCTTGTGGAAAAGGGGCAATGGAAAGCATTCAGTCTTAATTCAGAAAAGTGGAGCACAGATCCAATTTCCTAGATCAAGAGCCCCTTGCTAGCATCAAGGAACCTCCCTTGATGGGATTTCATATTTATATAATCAATTAAAATGTAATACAGAACACTAATCTGCTTTACAATTTCAAATTACACAATGTGATTAGCTGGTGACCCTTTTAAAGAACAGAAAATTGCTTATGCTAGCCCTGGATACTGACCCACAGTACTCAGCATGAGGTTTTAGCCACTGGGTCCCGTTTCCTGGTGGTTGTGGCTCTCACTTCACATGGCAAGGGTAAGGATTCAATTCCCAGTGAGGGCAGAAACATTGGGAGTCTTTCTTTACACAGGTTGTCTATGTTCCTCATCAGTAAAATGGTTACCTGGGAGTTAGTCGACTGGTGTAGGTCGCATCCTGGGACAAAACTGACCTAATTTGCCTGAAATGCTCTGCATAACAAGTGGCTGTCTATATTACACATAGTAGTGTGTCACTGATGTCAGCTAGGCCTCTATACCTTGTACATGTACTCGTAGAAATAAAGATATATTTTTTTTTTTTCAACAAGTCGGCCGTCTCCCACCGAGGCAGGGTGACCCAAAAAAGAAAGAAAATCCCCAAAAAGAAAATACATTCATCATCATTCAACACTTTCACCACACTCACACATTATCACTGCTTTTGCAGAGGTGCTCAGAATACAACAGTTTAGAAGCATATACGTATAAAGATACACAACATATCCCTCCAAACTGCCAATATATATTATTATTATTAATTATTATTATTATTATAATAAGAGGAGCGATTGGTGGAATGATGATGTGAAGAGAGTAGTAAGGGAGAAAAAGTTAGCATATGAGAAGTTTTTACAAAGTAGAAGTGATGCAAGGAGGGAAGAGTATATGGAGAAAAAGAGAGGTTAAGAGAGTGGTGAAGCAATGTAAAAAGAGAGCAAATGAGAGAGTGGGTGAGATGTTATCAACAAATTTTGTTGAAAATAAGAAAAAGTTTTAGAGTGAGATTAACAAGTTAAGAAAGCCTAGAGAACAAATGGATTTGTCAGTTAAAAATAGGAGAGGAGAGTTATTAAATGGAGAGTTAGAGGTATTGGGAAGATGGAGGGAATATTTTGAGGAATTGTTAAATGTTGATGAACATAGGGAAGCTGTGATTTCGAGTATAGGGCAAAGAGGAACAACATCTTGTAGGAGTGAGGAAGAGCCAGTTGTGAGTGTGGGGGGAGTTCGTGAGGCAGTAGGTAAATGAAAGGGGGTAAGGCAGCCAGGATTGATGGGATAAAGATAGAAATGTTAAAAGCAGGTGGGGATATAGTTTTGGAGTGGTTGGTGCAATTATTTAATAAATGTATGGAAGAGGGTAAGGTACCTAGGGATTGGCAGAGAGCATGCATAGTTCCTTTGTATAAAGGCAAAGGGGACAAAAGAGAGTGCAAAAATTATAGGGGGATAAGTCTGTTGAGTATACCTGGCAAAGTGTATGGTAGAGTTATTATTGAAAGAATTAAGAGTAAGACGGAGAATAGGATAGCAGATGAACAAGGAGGCTTTAGGAAAGGTAGGGGGTGTGTGGACCAGGTGTTTACAGTGAAACATATAAGTGAACAGTATTTAGATAAGGCTAAAGAGGTCTTTGTGGCATTTATGGATTTGGAAAAGGCGTATGACAGGGTGGATAGGGGGGGCAATGTGGCAGATGTTGCAGGTGTATGGTGTAGGAGGTAGGTCACTGAAAGCAGTGAAGAGTTTTTACGAGGATAGTGAGGCTCAAGTTAGAGTATGTAGGAAAGAGGAAAAATTTTCCCAGTAAAAGTAGGCCTTAGACAAGGATGTGTGATGTCACCGTGGTTGTTTAATATATTTATAGATGGGGTTGTAAGAGAAGTAAATGCGAGGGTCTTGGCAAGAGGCGTGGAGTTAAAAGATAAAGAATCACACATAAAGTGGGAGTTGTCACAGTTGCTCTTTGCTGATGACACTGTGCTCTTGGGAGATTCTGAAGAGAAGTTGCAGAGATTGGTGGATGAATTTGGTAGGGTGTGCAAAAGAAGAAAATTGAAAGTGAATACAGGAAAGAGTAAGGTTATGAGGATAACAAAAAGATTAGGTGATGAAAGATTGGATATCAGATTGGAGGGAGAGAGTATGGAGGAGGTGAATGTATTCAGATATTTGGGAGTGGACGTGTCAGTGGATGGGTCTATGAAAGATGAGGTGAATCATAGAATTGATGAGGGGAAAAGGGTGAGTGGTGCACTTAGGAGTCTGTGGAGACAAAGAACTTTGTCCTTGGAGGCAAAGAGGGGAATGCATGAGAGTATAGTTTTACCAACGTTCTTATATGGGTGTGAAGCATGGGTGATGAATGTTGCAGCGAGAAGAAGGCTGGAGGCAGTGGAGATGTCATGTCTGAGAGCAATGTGTGGTGTGAATATAATGCAGTGGAATATAATGTAGTGGAAGGAAGGCGGGGTAGGGGTCGGCCTAGGAAAGGTTGGAGGGAGGGGGTAAAGGAGGTTTTGTGTGCGAGGGGCTTGGACTTCCAGCAGGCGTGCGTGAGCGTGTTTGATAGGAGTGAATGGAGACGAATGGTTTTTAATACTTGACGTGCTGTTGGAGTGTGAGCAAAGTAACATTTATGAAGGGGTTCAGGGAAACCGGCAGGCCGGACTTGAGTCCTGGAGATGGGAAGTACAGTGCCTGCAGTCTGAAGGAGGGGTGTTAATGTTGCAGTTTAAAAACTGTAGTGTAAAGCACCCTTCTGGCAAGACAGTGATGAAGTGAATGATGGTGAAAGTTTTTCTTTTTCGGGCCACCCTGCCTTGGTGGGAATCGGCCAGTGTGATAATAATAATAAAAAAATATAATAATAATAATAATAGTTTATTTCAGCATGATACAATGTTTGTACAAAGGTGAATGACATTTGGGTATACATGCAGAAAGCCCTTAAATATGCAGAGCATTTCTGGCAAACTTAATTAAGACTAACTTAAGATTAATAAGACAATAAGAGTAATTTTATACATAGAGTCGCTTGGGTGAGTAAGTATAAATTTAGGAATTACAATGAATACAAGAGAACTGAATATCACACTAGTTCATGCTATATGGCTTTCGTGATGTTCACAAACTTCTAACAATACAGCTAATAAATAAATGAGTGAAAGTATTTCCTTCTTTGGATCACCTATTGAAGTGAAAAAAATTTTTTAATTAATCACTAATTAAGAGGTACCTATGTGTTTCTTCATCAAGAAAGTACGGTACAAACAAGTGAGGTGTTACATATAAATGGTATACAAACCTGACAGGTAAACAACTAAGACATGTGCAACACCTGGATATCTCTATTGTAGAAATAAAGAAATCCACAATAAAGATATCCAAGTGAAACAAAACACAGTATAAGTGAGGTTAGAACTCATGGCAAGTGATTCATAAAACTTCAGGCAAGTGTGTAGCCCACTGGCCTGGTGTTTTATGACTCACTTGTGAGGTTAGAACTCATGGCAAGTGATTCATAAAACTTCAGGCAAGTGTGTAGCCCACTGGCCTGGTGTTTTATGACTCACTTGTGAGGTTAGAACTCATGGCAAGTGATTCATAAAACTTCAGGCAAGTGTGTAGCCCACTGGTCTGGTGTTTTATGACTCACTTGTGAGGTTAGAACTCATGGCAAGTGAGTCATAAAACTTCAGGCAAGTGTGTAGCCCACTGACCTGGTGTTTTATGACTCACTTGTGAGGTTAGAACTCATGGCAAGTGAGTCATAAAACTTCAGGCAAGTGTGTAGCCCACTGGCCTGGTGTTTTATGACTCACTTGCTGAGAGTTCTAACCCCCACCTGTACCGTGGCTTGTTTGCAATCGTGTCATTACAATTTTGTAAATCATATCCTAGTGACCCCGTGGCCTGGCCCCTGGCCTCGCTTCAGACACGGAGGGCCTGGGTTCGATTCCCAGTGAGGTAGAAACATATCGACGTGTTTCCTTACACCTGTTGTCCTGTTCACCTAGCAGCAAGTAGGTATGTGGGTGTTATTCGACTGGTGTGGATCACATCCTGGGGGACAAGATTGAGGACCCCAATGGAAATAAGACAGACAGTCGTCAATAACACACTGCCTTTCTTGGGTTATCCTAGGTGGCTAACCCTCCGGGGTTAAAAATCCAAACGAAATCTTCTCTTAAGTGTTGCGTATGCATCTTTTTCATCTACAAGGAAGGGAACTGACCTTGTGTAGATGCAGAGCTATGATGGTTGGTGGGAGAAGCAATCTGAGCCAGAACCTGAATTACCAGTAGCACAACCTCGTCAGCAGGGTCCGAGAGGGTCTTCAGCAGTGCATGGAATAACTCCTCTAGGTAACGGCACATCTGAAAAAAAAAAAAAAAAAATTGGCTTTTAAAAACTCAAGAAAATGTTATTTCGGTATCAGTTAAGTCCTCAAACACTGTACACATGCCTAAAACACAAAATGTTGTGAATGTTAACAATTTAAGGTATAGTAGTCATTCCTTGTAAGGGAAGTAGAACCTGACAAAGACACTAAAGCACTACAGGAAGATCTGAATATTGATGCAGTGATCAGAGAAGTGGCAGATGTAGTATAATGCAGGTAAGCCCCGCTTTACAGTGCTTTACGTTACAGCCTTTCATTAATACAGAGGTTTTTTCAATTACATATACCCATTCTTCATTTATTCAAGCTTCCTACAATAAGTATATTCACCACTCACTATAAGCTAAGGGTGAAAATATTTAAAGGTAGGGTGGTCCAAAAAAGAAAAACTTTCACCATCATTCACTCCACCACCATCTTGCCAGAGGTGTGCTTACACTACAGTTATAAAACTGCAACATTACACCCCTCCTTCAGAGTGCAGACACTGTATTTCTCATCTCTGGGACTCAAGTCCAGCCTGCCAGTTTCCCTGAAGGTATTTCTCAACACTCAGGCCAAACATTTCATTGACCCACTCAATGAAAATCTGCCTAGTGACCCATGCCTTATTGTTAGCCTTCCACATCACACAATTTACTCTTAATGACATTGTTTTTCTTAAACACTAGAGGATTTTCAGAGTGATACACCAGTAAAGGCTTCACATTGAAATCCCCACTAGCATTACCACAGAACAAAAAAGTTAGCCTATCCTTCATAGGCTTGTGCCCTGGCAGTGCTTTTTCCTCCTGTCCTCCTTGGCAGTTTCTTCCAAAAGAGGCCCGTTTTGTCACAAGTGAAGACTTGTTGGGGAAGGAATCTTTCAGCCTCTATGTACTCTTTGAATTCTCCGGCCCCACATTTGACCGAACTTGCAGCCTCACCATGCCTTACAACACTGTGTATGCCAGTTCACTTCTTGAATTTGTCGAACCAGCCTCTGCTTGCCTTAAATTCATTAACAGCAGCACTTGTTCCAGGCATTTTCTTTGCGAGATCCGCATGCAACTACCTTGCCTTTTCACAAATTATCACCTCCAAAACACTACCTCCCACTAACTGTTTTTCATTAATCCACACCAACAACTTCTCAACATCTTTGATTCATTGCAATCTCTGTTTCGTTAGCACATTTACCCCTTTCTCAACATCACCTTCCTTGACTGCTTTTTTCTTCGCCAGGATGGAATTGATCGTTGATGGGACTTCCCATACATCCTGGCAAGATCGGCCATGCATACGCCACTTTCATACTTTGCTACGAGTTCTTTCTTGAATTCTATCATGTTTCTCGCCGTCCTTATCAAAGGACTGACACTTGGAACTTTCTTTGGCCCCATGGTGGCTTATTTAGCAGTCACACTCAAACAAGCATGAACAACAATGGATTATTACAAAATGCTTCGGATGAATGTGCGGAGTGATGCTCACTCAACGAGAAACACAGGCAGACCTGAGTCACGAACACATGGGATGCTTTGTGTGAGCGCTTGAGTGGCCGAGTCACACGGATGCGTTTGGTACGGACCATTTTCAACTGGCCACAAAATAGAGCGAAACACCAACGTCAAAGACCTGGGAGTGATCATGTCGGAGGATCTCACCTTCAAGGACCATAACATTGTATCAATCGCATCTGCTAGAAAAATGACAGGATGGATAATGAGAACCTTCAAAACTAGGGAGGCCAAGCCCATGATGACACTCTTCAGGTCACTTGTTCTATCTAGGCTGGAATATTGCTGCACACTAACAGCACCTTTCAAGGCAGGTGAAATTGCCGACCTAGAAAATGTACAGAGAACTTTCACGGCGCGCATAACGGAGATAAAACACCTCAATTACTGGGAGCGCTTGAGGTTCCTAAACCTGTATTCCCTGGAACGCAGGAGGGAGAGATACATGATTATATACACCTGGAAAATCCTAGAGGGACTAGTACCGAACTTGCACACGAAAATCACTCATTACGAAAGCAAAAGACTTGGCAGACGATGCACCATCCCCCCAATGAAAAGCAGGGGTGTCACTAGCACGTTAAGAGACCATACAATAAGTGTCAGGGGCCCGAGACTGTTCAACTGCCTCCCAGCACACATAAGGGGGATTACCAACAGACCCCTGGCAGTCTTCAAGCTGGCACTGGACAAGCACCTAAAGTCAGTTCCGGATCAGCCGGGCTGTGGCTCGTATGTTGGTTTGCGTGCAGCCAGCAGCAACAGCCTGGTTGATCAGGCTCTGATCCACCAGGAGGCCTGGTCTCAGACCGGGCCGCGGGGGCGTTGACCCCCGGAACTCTCTCCAGGTAAACTCCAGGTATGAAAACTGAGTGTATTTATGAAAACTGGGACAAAATTTTGATGAAAAAATTGTTGAACACCAAATCCTACAAAACTGGGGCATACAAAAACTGAGGTTCCACTGTACTATGAAATTCTTTCCATGTTTTATTAAATTTTGAAAATATTTTCAATTGCATTTATGAAAAATATCACTATGTAGAGGAGCCACATTGAAGAGCTTTCACCAAAACTAACTTACTAACCTTATTGGGAATTTTGTTGTGAAGGTGGTAAATCCACTTGAGGACGGCGGTCTTACAAGGCACGGGAGTGTTGCGCAGCTGGTTCCTCAGTACCTCCATCACCGAGCCCAGGTCCAGCTCCATGTTACCCGGCTCTGTCAAGAATAACATACTCTTGCTGCACACACTTCTTACCACTGCAGAGTGACCCAAAAAAGAAACACTTTTACCATCATTCACACTATCACTGTCTTGCCAGAGGCATGCAAATACAACAGTTTAGATGTCCCTCTAAACAGCAAGCATCCCCAACCCCTCCTTTAAAGTGCAGCTACTGTACTTTCCACTTTCAGGACTCAAGTCCATTCACAGTATAAGGAAAGTTATATACATTATTCTGATAAATTAGACACATGTGTAACACTTGGGTATCTTTACTGAATTAACATTTTGTCACACTGTCAATCTTGAAAAGATTAATGGACTGATTACACTGACTCCCGAATGAGGGACCAATTACCTCAAACTCCTTCTGATCTTCATCTTTCTTCTTTGTATAGGACTGATGAAGCCACTGTGTGGCAAAACATTTCCATAATAAAGATATCCAAGTGTTGCACATGTGTTTAATTTATCGACCTGTCGGTTCTCTGAACCATTCATCTACATTCATTTTTTTTAACACTGAGTCTCCCAGCAAGGGAGGGTAAAAAAAAAAAATCATCATCACTTATTCAATCACTGTTTTGGCAAAGGTTCACCTACATCACAATGCAAATGCCCCTCTAAACTGCAACATCCTTGCCCCTCCTTCAAAGTGTGGGTACTATGTTTTTCCACTTCCAGGATTCAAGTCAAAGTAACTGATTTCCCTGAATCCCTTCATAAATGTTACCTATCTTGTAATCCAGTTGCATGTTACATCACAAAAACTGCCCACCTTCACTCACTCTGATCTAACACACTCACAAGTCTGTTGGGTGTTGAAGCCACTAGCACTCAAAGCCTCATTTACCCAGTCCCTTTAACCTCTCCTGGAACAATCACTACCTATCCTTCCCTCCACCCCTGATTTATATACTTTCCTAGCTATCTTTTTTTGCTCCAACTTGTCTCAATGCCCACACCTCAACAACCCCTCCTCAGCCCTCTGAATTAAACTTTTGTTAACCCCACACGAAGCTCCATATTCTCTGCATAATATTTACACCACACAATGCCCTCAAACATGACATTACCACTGTCTCCAGCCTCATTCTCTTTAAAACATTTAAAACCCATGCTTCACACCCACTTAACAGTATTGTTACCACTATACTCTAGCACAATCCCCATTTTGCCTCCACGGGTAAAGTTGTTTGTCTCCCCAGATGCCTCAATGCACCACCCACCAGATGCCTCAATGCACCACCCACTCACCCTTCTGCCCTTGTCTATCCTGTAGTTTACCTCTTTTTCATAAACACATTTGCCAACAAGTTTACTCCCAAATATCAGAATGCATTTACTTCCTCTTGAAAAAATCTTTTCTCTGTAAGCCGTGTGTGTCATAGGAGGCAACTAAAATGCCAGGAGCAAAGGGGTAGTAACCCATTCTCCTGTATAAATTATTACATGCCAATAGAAGATGAACTTTTCAATTTTCTTCTTTTTCAGGTCACCCTACCTTGGTGGGTGACAGCTGGTATGTCGAAAAAAAAAATTACTTCCTCCATGCTTCCAATCTACAGTCTTATCTTACCTTTGATATACCTTTGAAGAATTTCGAGAGTATATCTACTCTCTGAGCCCAGCCATGGGCCAGGCTCGTCTGGTGCTCGCCTGGTCAACCAGGCTGTTGCTGCTGGAGGCCCGCTGCCCCACATATCCATCACAGCCTGGTTAATCTGGCACCTGGTGAAGATACTTGTCTAATTTCCTCTTGAAAGCTTCAACACTTGTTCCAGCAGTGTTTCTGATATCTTCTGGTAAGATGTTGAAAAGTCTGGGACCCCAGATGTTGATACAGTGTTCCCTTATTGTCCCCACCACACCCCTGCTCCTCACTGGGTTTATTTTACACTTCCTCCCATATCTCACTCCAGTATGTTGTTATGGCAGTGTGCAGATTTGGGACCAAGCCCTCGAGTACCTTCCAGGTATATATCATCATGTGCCTCTCTCTCCTCCGCTCCAATGAGTACATGTTCAAGACTTACAGGCGTTCCCAGTAGTTTAGGTGCTTTACTGGCTCAATGTGAGCCGTAAACGATCTCTGTATTTGTTCCAGCTCCGATATTTCTCCTGCCCTGAACGGGGCCGTCAGCACTGAGTAATATTCTAAGTGAGGGAGCACTAGCGATTTGAAGAGTGTCACCATCGGCATTGTTTCCCTTGTTTTGAAAGTTCTCAATACCCACCAAGTCATCTTCCTGGCTGTCGTGATCTTTGTCTTGTTATGGCCTTTAACCCTTTCAGGGTCCGTCCCGTAGATCTACGGCTTTACGTTCAGGGTCCAAACCGTAGATCTACGTCATGAGCTCAGCTCACTCTGATAAACTGTGAGTGGTAAATTTGGGCCTAGATATGAGAGAATACATCTATGTGGTATGTGTGCACCACATAAAACAAATCCTGCAGCACACTGTGTATAATGAGAGGAAAAAAACTGAGACCGTGATTTTCGTTTAAAACAGCGACTTTGCAGTGTTTTTTCCTATGTTTTTTATAGTTGTATTTGTGATTTCTTGGTCTCATTTGATAGAATGGAAGACATATTACAGAAATGGAGATAATTTTGATTGGTTTTAGCACTGGAAATGGCTTGAAACTGAGCTCAAAGTGGCGGAAATGTTAAATTTTTGCCGATGTTCAAGAGTAAACAAACGACCTCACACGTCTAATACACACCAGCGGGTGGGTCTAATATACATTCATAAATGTGGTGATGATATTTATACAATTATTACAATATTGCATAACAGTAAATCTTTATTTTTTGGTGTGAATAAAAATTCATTATGTGAATAAAAAATCAAAATGAAATTTATTTGTAAAGCCTCAAAACGTAACTAATGAACAGAGGAAATGTTAGTTTAGTGCCAGGAATACCTACATTGTTTATTCTGGATCCTATTTTGAAATTGGAATATTTTGAACTTTGTGTTAAATTGGCCAAATTACCAATTTCCGGTCACTTTATTTTGTAGTTGAAACAGTTGACTTGGCGATTTCTTGTGCTCAATCGATAGAATAGAAGTAATCCTAGTGAAATAGCTAAGAATTTGGTCGACTGGAATAATGTAATTGGCCTAAAATGGGAGTCAAAGTCGGCAAAATCGCCGATTCGTAAATATCGCTGACACATCAAAATTCACGAGAACATAATTTCGTCAATTTCCCATCAAATTTCGTACTTTTTGTTTTATTACATTCACAAAAAGATTCTCTACCATTTCATAAGAAAAAAATAAAAATTTTTTTTTTTTTTAAATTCTTGGACACTGGGGCACCACTTCAGATTTTGGCCTTGGACCCTGAAAGGGTTAAAAGAAATGTCCGCTGACATAATTATTCCTAGGTCTTTTACGTGTTCCTTACATTCTATTTGGTGACCCTCTTGAGTTTTGTATATAGTGTTCCTTTTCAGTTCTTCATTCTTTCCATACCTAAGCAGCTGGAACTTATCACCATTGAACGTCATGTTCTTTTCCACTGTCCACTGGAAAACCCTGTTTATGTCTTCCTCTACTTTTTCAGTGTCCTCTACTGTACTGACTTTCATGCTTATTTTAGTGTCATCTGCAAATGATGATACAAAAGTGTGCCGGGTGTTTTTGTCTATGTCTGCTATGAGAATGAGGAACAGCAGAGGTGCCAGGACAGTGCCTTGGGGCACTGAGCTTTTGACCTCACTGATGCTGGATCTTGCCCTGTTCACTACTACTTTTTGTGTGTTAGGAAACTGAAAATCCATCTGCCTACCTTCCCCGTAATGCCCATGGCCTTCATTTTGTGCGCTATCACTCCATGATCGCATTTGTCAAACGCCTTTTCAAAATCTGTGTAAATCACATCTGCGTTTTGGTCATCTTCCAGTGCCTCTGTAATTCTGTCATAATGGTTCAGCAGCTGTGACAGACATGATCTTCCTGCTCTAAAACCATGCTGGTTCGGGTTATGTTGGTTGTGCTGGTCCATGAAATTTGTAACCTGCCGTCTCATCACTCTTTCGAAGATTTTTATGATGTGAGAGGTTAGGGCTACTGGTCTGTAATTTTAAGCTAGTGCTCTACTGCCTCCCTTGTGCAAAGGAGCTACGTCTGCACTCTTTAACCCTTTGACTGCTTACGCCGTATAAATACATCTTACGCGCCACTGTTTCTGATGTATATATACTCATAAATTCTAGCGGCTTCAAATCAAGCAGGAGAAACCTGGCAGGCCCACATGTGAGAGAATGGGTCTGTGTGGTCAGTGTGCACCACATAAAATAAATCCTGCAGCACACAGTGCATAATGAGAAAAAAAAAACTGACCTTTTTTTGGATTAAAATGCCAACTTTGAGGTGTATTTTCGTATAGTATTTATCGTTGTATTCTCGTATTCATGGTCTTAGGTGATAAAATGAAAAACATATTACAGAAATGGAGATGGTTTTCATTACTTTCGCGATGAAAACGACCTTGAAACTGAGCTCAATCTAGCAGAAATGTTCGATTTTTACCAATGTTCAGGAGTAAGTAAATCACACCACACGTCCAATACACGTCAAATGGGGAGTCTAATATTCTTTCACTAGTGCACTGATATTATTTATACCATTTTTAAAATAATGCAGTAGTCTGCATACCAGTAAATTTTGCATTTTTTGTATGAATAAAAAATCAAAATAGAAAGCAATAGTAATACACAAGGGGCTTAGAGATGTGACTAATGAACAGAGGATATGTTATTTTAGTGCCAAGAATGTCTACCTTGTTAATTCTGGACCCTATTTTGAAATTGGCATCGTTTTTGATTTGCGTGAAATTGGCCAAATTGCCAATTTCTGACCACTTTATTGGGTAGTTCAAATCGGTAAATGGGCGGTTTCTTCTACTCAACTGATGGATAAAATGGAGTCCTAAAGAAATAGCTATGAGTTTGGTCAACCGGAACAACGGAATTGGCTAAAAACAGGGCTCAAAGTTGGCGAAATCGCCAATACGCTTATGT